TCTTTGCAGGACAAAAAATTGCATAAAATAAAAAATGTGTACAAATATAAAAATAAAATGTGAATAAATGTGTACACGTACATGTGTATTATGTGCCTTTATCTCAACCTCTCTCTCTCTCTCACTAGATATTCCTATTAATCCGTATCCTGTTAGATTAGCTGATGGTATTAATGATCACTCCGGTCGTGTCGAGATATTTTATAACAACGAGTGGGGGACTGTCTGTGATAATCATTGGACTATGAATGAAGCTAATGTCGTATGTAGAGAACTAGGATTCCCTGGTAAGAATTAATAGTAATTTATTCTATTTTTTACATATGTCACAATTTTTCTACTATTATAATTTGCAGGTGGCAATTTTAAATGTATTTCTTTATTTTTATGATTTCAAAAATAGAGAGAGAGTGAGAAAGAGAGAGCTAATAGCTTTAATAGATAACAAGTGCTTGACTGATGTATCACAACATTTATTTTAAAAATCCCAGCTGGTGTATTTTAAATGCGTTTCTTTATTAATGACTACAGGTGCTCAAGATGGCGGTGCTCTTGGTGGTTCAGCTAGTACAGCAGGTAACGGTCACATTTGGTTGAGTAATGTAAACTGTCAAGGAAATGAGTACTTCTTGCATCAGTGCAGCCATGATCCTTATGGCAGTAACAACTGCCAGCACGTGAATGACGCTAGAGTGATATGTAAAGGTATAGGGATATTAGTTTATCATATACATGTATGTACATACTTATACTATCTTTGGAATTCTATATACATGTACATGTACATGTATATCTTCACTGTTCTCTCTCTATTATATTATAATTCATTTTCTTAATAGCTAATTATCTCAATGTCACACTTCACGGTCCAACCCCATCAGCCGGTCGTGTCTCTGTTAATTACAATGGACTGGGTTGGGGTACCATTTGTGATACCTACTGGAGCATAAAAGATGCTGATGTGGTCTGTCGTATGATTGGATATAAATCAGCTACTAATAATTACACCCATGCAATCCCTTATGGACAAGGTACACTATGTACATGTACATGCATGAATAGTATTATGTGCTATATGTTATTTTATTATTATTTATTATATACATGAACATCAGTTAATGTTATATCTGGATTTCCTACAAAGCATGCTAAGTGAGCTAACAAGCACTACAATACAGCATATGGCAACTGGAGCAACTTTAAAAATTCATTAAAAAATCCAAATTTGATCAGAATCTGCTCAAACTTCCTACACAACATAAAAACATGTATACGTATCAGAATAAATTATAAAAATGGAGATTTCTCTCCTAGTCATTTTTGGCAAAATTTGGCCAAAGTCTAGTACAGGGTCTTTGGCCCGATTTTGGAGTAACTTTAAAAATTCATTAAAAAATCCAAATTTGATTGGAATTAGCTCAAACTTGCTACACAACATAAGAACATGTATATGTATCAGAATAAATTATAAAAATTAGATAATTCTCTCCTAGTCATTTTTGGCAAAATTTGGCCAAAGTCACTGTACTAAA